ATATTTATATGATTAACTCCTCTATTTTATCATGTTTGATTTTTGTCTGTGTCTCTTATTTCTGCTATGCAAAAATTCATTTTGTTCTCCAGCACAGAAGACAGAGAGAAAGTACCCCAGAACCAAGGGTAACTACTATTTTTCCCAATCAAAGGAACGCCCTCTATCCAAAGCTAGAAATGGTCATGAACCTGACCACTGGTGTCCTTTCTGTAGTTTAACTTTCTAGACTGTTTTTATGTTTCTATCCTACTTCTGTATTTTGCCTGGTTTTGACCTAGACATCTGATTTTTAGAAACCTCAGCACAAAAATTCCAAACTATTTTCCTGCAATTTGGTTTCCCTGAATATTTTTGAAGGTTACTTGAAAAAGATGCAATTCCCCTTTTTCTGTATCCCTCTTCTTTACACCCTGTGTGAAGATTGAGTTCTTACTTCATTGCTTGTATTTTTATTTTTACAAGTAAAAAGTACAACCAGAATTTTGTTTTTACAAAGCTTTTATTTTTGGGCCATACAAAAAAGTATCAACAACAAGGCATGAATCAAAGGAACTTTTTTGGTAACAACGAGAAAAATCAAGGGCGACGTACAAAAGCACAACCGATTCACCACATGTTCTTGATTATTGTTCCGACCATTTTTTCTATGTACAAAACAAAAATTCTTTAACCAACCAAGACCGTACCGCATCAAAAAAGTAACCGCCAAAAAACACAATCAACATTTTCATGCCCAGAATGCTGAGCACCGAGGATCTTCTACTTCCACGTTTCCTGTGTTGAGCTCCAGAAGATCCCCAGTTGAGGTAACCCTTTCTTCACCTCCTTCTTCAGAAGCTGTGGCTGTTGTAGGATGCACAGCTGTTATGAGGCCCATCCATCTCGCAGCTTGTTGCATGGAATGCCACTGAAAGGATACAAAACCAAAATTGCATTAGTTTTTGATTTCTACAAATTTCTTTCTCTCCAAAAAAAATATTTACTCTCTCCAAAAGATGTACTGGTCATGCTCTCAAAATTTCCAACAAAAGCATCTACATCTTCCTTGACCTCATCAAAATTTATGGGAGGCAATTCTGCCTCTGCTACCCCTTGATCCCCCTCTTGTTTCTAAAAAAGAAGAAATAGAAAAATTTCTCTCTTAAGACAAATTTTCTTGAGACTATTTTTTCTTTTACTCTAGAAAATCTTTTTGAACTAAGAAAAGAGTCCTTGAAACATTTACTCACCTTCAAGTAGATCTGTCTAGCCATCCAAGCCAGAAAAAACAGGATTGAGACGACTCCATATCCTCTGCAACCTACGATCAAAAATTTCATGGCTGTCTCGCCACTGATGCTTGCCTCCAGTTGTCCATCTTTCACACAAATGGTCACTTCAGGGACCACGGTAGGCATAGCTGCAAGGATCTCCTTATCCTTGGCAGCTGAAGAATGACAAATCACAGCCTCTGTTGTGATTGTTGTCACTTGAGACACCAGCAAAACTGACGTCATTGTTGAACTTGTGGCTATGAAAGAAAAGAAACAAGACAGAAATTTATCATTCACTTTTTTTTAAACTAATTTTCTTGGCTGGCCTGTGAGAAAAGAAAAAAGACAACAAATTTTTGAGAAACTTACTTGGTGGAGCTGAGCTCTTGACATTGTCGAGGCAGTAGGCCCAGGGAACAACAATCTGGTCCAATCCCTCTCGACGTCCAAAACACGTCACCAGTTGCAGCAACTGCACCATCTGAGGAGGTCACGGATACAAGTGAAACAACAAACAACTTTTTCACCTGTGAGCAGCAACCTCACCTTCAACCGCCACAAACAGATGCAGTCCAAGAACAAGTATTTGCCATTAAAAATGACGCGACAACCATGATCCAAAGCCATGATGACGTTGTCTCCGCACATATCGCAGACAACGCCATCCCCCTCAAGGACACAAGTACTCCAAGTACCCGTCACCAGAAGGGAGAACAGGAAGATCACCTGGAACAAGTAATAAACAGACAAATAATCAGTTGAACATTTCAACTCATTGTTTGTCCACTTACCTTCATTGTGGATACTTCTGACATTTTGTATTGCAAAATTATTCGCAATATATATATATATTTTTTTAACTATGTATATTGGTAAAAGGTGCGAAGATTTTCTTTACAAACACTTGTAGACTACTTTACACAAGAACCTGTGAAAGAGCTAATCAAAACAAATCCCAAAGACTTTACTTCAAAGACAAGAAAAATTTCGTAAGGTTATCAGCTCACCAGAAAAGGTTTGTGTCAACAGCTCAGACTGTTGATTGGCACTGAAGACCTCAGGTTTGATTTTCTGTCCTGACAAAGGCTTGATTCAGAAAAACCGTCGTAAACAAAGACCTTGAGATCGATTGGTTTTTTCTCTTTGTCATTTTTCAAAAACACTCGCACTTGTGAGAATCAGGCACTTCGTAACGCTTGACAATAACAACGATTTTGTTGACGCCAAGTCGGCACCTGTCAAACTTTCCTCCGTTGAAGCCCTGATTTGTTACCAAGAAAAAACGATGGAACCTGTTTTTATTTTTGCCTAGTGTGAGTTTGTAACCCAGAACCCAAATTGCGATTATTTTTTTTTCTCCTTATTTGGAGAGAGATCCTTCTCTACAAGGTATTCATTTCCTTGCAGCTGTTCCCCTTTTGTTTTGGTTCCCCCTCTCTCACGTCGGCCTGCATTAATGCGTGACGGTCATTATTGTGCGTTTCTCCTTTTCAACTTGCTATTTGTCAACAGAGACAAATGACCTGCAGTGCCTTCTTCTAAACTGCTAATTTAGAAGAAGCCTATTCCGCCAAAGTTGCAAGTGTATGTATGTTATTTATATTTATAATATATACCCGAGGATACCAGGATATTTGTATTCATCAAGAGTGTTCAGGGAACCCTCAGTTCCTCAATCTTGGTGAATATTTTGCCTCTATATTTTATGTTTCCAGAAAGGTATAAATACACCTTCCTTCCCACATATTTCCCCAGAATTAATCTAGAGTCATTGGCAGTTATTTCTCAGAGAGACTTGCGGAACATTTTAGCAAGACTCTCTTAAAGCTCTCTATTTTTATGTTTGTGTGATTGTACGAATATTTGTGAGTTGAATAAATTTCAAGTATATATTTTTATTGAACTTGTATATTTATTTATACCTCCATCTATGGACAACAGTATTAACAAATTCAGAATCCCCAAAAATTTGAACATACACTAGTCATTGGAAAAGTTTGCCTGCTTTCAGATATTGATAAGGCATACACATCTTTATTATGTGTGAAATCTTGCAGCACTTGACTTCAGGCGCCCGGTTGGGCCCGGGATGATGTTTACAAGATAGCCCGGAATCAAAGGATCCACAGACTCTGCTTAGTTGTTTTGTTTCTAACTTGCACTGATTTAAAATTACCCAAAGTGCTTCAAATGCCAAGAACTGTACACAGGTGTAAATCCACTGGTTAAGTCTTATTATGAGAAGCCGGATGGTCACTAAGTGATTCTTTACTTTATGATGAGCTGTATGAGAAAATGAACTTGAAAGTCTTTTAAGACTAACTAAGTTTTATTCACAGCTTCAACAAAGATTCCGAATACACCACAAACAGTACTTGTCTCCGTCTGTAACATTCAAAATGAGCAAATGATCATAAAAAGTTCATCATATTATCACACACAGAAGCAACAACCAAAATTGAAATTCAATGCATAATTTCAACACTCTGCCGAATCCTTCTGGCGTGGGTCTTTTTTACTGTTGCTTTAACCCTCTAAAAATATCTATAAAATACATGTGCACACTTCTGGTGCTCAAACAGAAATGAGCAGAGCACAGTCTGCTAAGAGATTAGTGCACCAAGCTTGGGTGGCCTGATCCCACATTCCTATCTTAATCCTCCTGTGAGGATGGTTTGCGCATCATTCCCAGGCAGCCTAAACCAAGGTTATATCTTTCCAAAGAAAATGCAATGGAAAAAGCGCAACAAATCAAGCACATCAAATTTTGTACACTCTTCCAAGAAATCATAAATGTTTCCGAATTTCCGCGCAGTGCAAATTTCTGCGACGCGCACGCTAATACAAGTCTACACACTCTCTGATCATTCCAAATGAACATACAAATCATGATCAGTCAGCATAAAATTTTTGCATCAAATAAATCGCAAAATGAAGAAGTTTGTTTCCGCGACTAACCTTTGTAAATATGACAAATGACTGATGTACCAACTTCTCAATCCTTTCAATATTTCTTTTCTGTCTATATAAATCAAGTCGAACATAAATCAGTATTTTCCCATCTCATAAATACAAACAGAACCCCTTTTAAGAAATCCTTTTCAGTATAAACAATGTGTTGTCATAAATTAGTTAATTTAGATCTTTTACAATTCTTGAATCCAGACGTCTCTAGGTTCTTCAATTGTATAACTTATCGTCGCAAGTTGTATTTCAACTAATTTCAACAATTCCTTGAGAGGAGATTTCTTGATCCTTGTTACCAGGCAAAGTAAATTCAACTCCTCTTTTATAAAATAGGTGAGTGAGCTTTATTTCGTATTCAACAGCAAAGATACCGTACGCTGACAAACTTCAGACAGCAATGAGCGCGCAATCAACAGAGAACAGGCAACTATATAGATTCACTCAAGTGAGGTTGGGCAAGAATGGTCAGACCCGGATCTGACCTCATTCTAGGTGAGATTGCGTAACCTTGTGGCGCGAGACTTGAGAGAGATCACGCAGCAAAACCGTGAGACAGACGACATGACTTTATTTGGAGCGTTGTCAGCTAGGTGAAAGGGAATGCAGCAAAGTTATTGATGACCAATTCTCCGTGGACAAATAAAAAAAAATAAGTCCTCTTATTTTCCCGCATGCCAAGGCATGTTTTTGGCACCAGATTCCTTCATCACCCTCATTTGAGGTGTGCAGGAATTCATATAGATCTACTTGACTGTAAACATTTGAAGAATTCTCCCCATGTAGGAACCTGCCTAGTAGAGTACAGTTCAGTACCTTTTCAGAGAACCAATCGGTCGGTTCTGCAACCCTTTTCTGGTGATTTTTTGTTGATAAGGACCAATGTTTTAATTCCGATTGAGAATTGTCTGAATCTTGAAATTACATTACCCTCATCTTTTCAGAAATCGCATCCAAATAAATCCGCTTTGAATTTTTTCAACAATTAATTCGCAAAAACTAAGTCAAAACAAAAAGTCAACACAAGTCAACCAACATAATGCTTCAATTTGCAAACTATTTGTTTCTGGCCTGCGCGGTTTTTGCATTCAATGACAACTGCAAGAATGTGGGCCAGAAATATTATTGTGAAGATGTTTGCGAGGCAAGGCATGCTTCATATTACGAGGACGAAGTAATCTTTGTTGGTCGTGTTTTGGATTTGAAGTTTGTTGCCATGCGTCACTTGAAGGTCGGTTGGTTCTTTTCTGAAATATAGAAGCAATAACTTTTAGTATTGAAAATCTTTCAGAAAGTAACCTTAACAACTCAAGTCTGGTGTAGAGGAACAGTGACAGAGGATCTTCAGTCTGTCATCAATCCTTGGTGGCTCTGCCAGGGTATGGAGAAAAAGATAGTTACTAGTACAAGTACCAGTACTGTTATTTCTTCTTCCTCAAAGAGTGAGTCAATTTTTATTTAACCATTGAACATTAAAAATATTTTCCTTCTAATTTAGAATTTGTGACCACAACCTTTTCACAGGATTCCACAACAATTGAATCTTTGGTTGTTCTGGAGTTCAGTACTGAGACATCTGTATCTTTGTCCTCTGAGCGGACAACTGTTCCTTTGGAGAAGATTTTCATTCCTGGTCCAGTTGAGGATATTCCTTTGAAAGTGGAAATGCAACTGCCTATGGAAAAGCTGGGAAAATCTAGTTTTCATGAATCACGAAGACATTCCTGGCTTTTCTATTTGTTAATTGGCATGAGCATTTTTGCCTTCTTGCTGCTGGTCATTCTTTCTGTTTTGATCTACATGAAATACAAACCTGTAAGTTTGAATGAATTTCTAGTATCTCTCTCTTTGCAAAGTTTTGCTTCCAATATTTTAGGTTAGTTCATTGGTTACTTCAGTTGAGGATGCGGTAAGGATGGTTAATCCATTTTTTGATGACTCAGAAATTCTTGCTGCTGATGTTCAACCAGTTTCATTTGGTGAGGCTTTAGAAATGGCTGAGAGAAGTCGAACTTTTGCTTCTGTCCATCCTTTGCAAATTAAACTTTTGAGTGAGTGTCAGGAATTTGCCTTTTCTGTACAATATTCTAATACAGTCTATTTTTACAGAATATCAAGAGCTTGTTATCCTAAATTGGCAAAAGAATAAAACTCTAGACACTTTCGTGCAGAAAGAAACGTCTTTCCTTCTTACGCGATCAATCTAAAACTTAATTCCTTCCAGGACAACGTTCTGTCAAGAAGAATTCTAATTCTTTATGGCCGGGGTAAAAGTGAATCTAGACTTCTTGTTAAGTGAATACGTATATATTTCTGTGAGCGTAACCAACAAGAGCCGAGCCAGCAATGAATGCTGACATATACACTTTGCGGTACCTTTATAGATTCGGAACAAACCAGACGCACTTGCGCAACTAGAACGGGGAAAACAGAAAGGGGACCGGGCAAATGACCACGAACCAGACAGTGTATCTAGGACACGCGGTGTCATCGTCTGCTTCAGGGCAGCGAGTTGCTATGCCAACATTCCGACAGTAGAGAGCAGTATTATACACATGACGTAGGACACTGTAACTATTTCTTTCGGTGACAAACTCACCGCAGACAGATTTGAAGAAAAGTTCCACCTTTTCAAAGTCAATTTAAAACAAAGTTTTCACCAAGTGCGGGAATACCAAAAGTGAACTCAAGAATCGATGTTTTGAAATGTTTGATATGCCTGGGCATCGATTTCCCATATGGCACACTCAAAAGCAGCAGAGCATCTGTTAATTGGGTGATATTTTGTCTCACACACATTTTGTGGGGCACCCAAGGCTCAGGAATTCCCTGAGATGCTGCAGAGTTCAAC